GTGCTCTCAAAACCAGTGGAGGTTGTGATGAAAGGCAAATGGTAAGAGATTGGTAGATTCACTGGCCATACAGGCTAAACTGTAGGTTGGCTAACTTGCCTGAGAGAACCAGAAAGAGATTTCTGGGTGTAACCCTCCTGGGGTCAGAATAAATTTCAAACACTACCTAAAAAGCTATCCTCTCTAACTTCCGGTGTCTGGTCCAACCTGTAAAGAGCTTGGAAGTCATCATTCTGATCCTCACAAGAAAAAAGCTCAACAAACTGAAAATCAAAAACTCTTATTAGGTCCATCAAAGACTTGAGGTTACAGGGCAGCAGCCTCCAACACTGGAGAGAGAGGCGGGATACCAAGAATCACAGCTTACCAGGAGCAAAACCCAAGAGCAAGCCACTGGAGTCAGTACTGAGGAGACAAAAACAAGGACCATAGAGGAAACTTTAGCCTCTGACACTTACAGCTACAACAAACAACAAACACAGACTAACTCCTAGCCAGATAAACATAAAACCTCACTCTAAAGACCTATTTGCCATCATTCCTTTTACGTGATACACCACATATAACTTTCAACAAAAAAATTACAAGGCATGCTGATATGCAAAATACAAAATTTGAAGACAATCAGAATCAGACTTAGATATGGTGGAGATTTTGGAGTTATCAGATTGGAAATTTAGAATAACTGATTAATTTGCTAAGGACTGTAATGGAAAAAGTGGACAACAAGCAAGAACAGATGGGTAATTAAGCAGAGATAAAAAAGCTTAAGAAAAAATCAAAAGGAAATGCTAGAAATCAATAGCACCCTAACACAAATGATGTCTTTGATGGGCTCATCAGTAGACTAGACACACCCAAGTAAAGAATCAGTAGGCTTGAAGATATGTCAATAGAAACTTCCCAAACTAGGATGAAAAAAGCAGAACTTCCCAAATGGAATGAAAAAAGAAAAACAGAATACCCAAGAACTGTGATACAACTTAAAAAAGTATAATGTGCACATGATGGAAATACCAGAAGAGAGAACAACAAAAAAAATACTTGAAATGATAATGGCTAAGAATTTTCCTAAGTTAATGTCAGATATCAAACCACAAATTCAGGAACCTAGAGAACACCACGAATAACAAATACTAAAAATCTACACCTAGGCATATCAAATTATAACTGTGGAAAATAAAAAACAAAGAGAACACCTTGAAAAAAGCCAGAGGACAAAAAACACCTTACTTACAGTAGTACAAGATGAGAATTACACTGGACTTCTCTTCAGAAACATGGAAGCAAGTAGAGAGGAGTGAGATATTTAAAATGATAAAAGAAAACCCCCACCAACCTAGAATTCTGTATCCCAAGAAATTATCCTTCAAAAGTCAAGGAGAAATAAAACTTTCTCAGACAAAAATTTAGGAAATGTGCTGCCAATAGACTTGCCTTGTAAGAAATTTTCGAAGAAGTTCTTCAGAGAGAAAAAAAATAATATAGGTCATAAACTCAGATCTACATAAAGGAAGTGTGTTAGAGAAGGAATAAATGAAGGTAAAACAAAATCCTTTATTTTTCTTATTCTTAATTGATTTAAAAGATAAAAATTTGTCAATAATAATAGCAACAAGGTTTTTCAGTGATTATAGTTTATGGATAAGTAAAATGAATAACAATATTATAAAAGACAGTAAGAAAGAGTTAGAAATACTCTATTATAAGGTAGCTGCACCACCAATGAAGAGGTACCGTGTTACTTAGACTAGTTGTAATGTATACTCAAAGTTATAAAGCAACCACTAAAAAATTTAAAAAAAAGAAGTATAATTGGTATGCTAAGTGGAGAGAAAATGGATCACATAAAATGCTCAATTAAAACCAGAGAATGCAGAAAAAGAACAAAAGACAAAAAGAAACAAATAAAGAAAATGAGTAGAAAATAGTTACAAATATGGTTAAGTATTAACCCAACTGTATCAATAATCACAAACGTGAATGATCTAAATATACCTATTCAAAGACAGAGGCTGTCAGGATGGATGAAAAAATACAAGACACAAATATATGTTACCTACAAGAAACACACTTTAAATATAAAAACACAGATAGGGTAAAAGAAAAGGGATAAAGAAACATACAAGCAAACACTAATCAAAAGAAAGCTGGAGTAGCTACACATTAATTTCAGACAAAGCAGACTTCAACAAGGAAACTTATCAGGGATAAAAAGTGGCATTACATAATAGTAAAGCAGTTACTTCTCAAGAAGACATAAAAATTTTTAATGTGTATGCATCTAACAAAAGAGTATCAAAATACTCGAGACAAAAACTGATAGAACACAAGGAGAAATAGACAAATCCATTACTTGAACATTTCAATACAACCTCTATCAGTAACTGACAGATCCAGCAAGCAGAGTCAGCGAGGATATACTTGAACTGAACAGTATCTAATTGACATTTATAGAATACTTTATTCAACAATAGAGGGATACGCATTTTTCTCAAGCTCACATGAAACATTCATCAAGACAGACCACAATGTGGGCAATAAAATACATCTTACCAAATTTAAAAGACGAGAAATAATACCAAGTACGCTCTTGGACCACAGTAGAATTAAATTAGAAATCAGTAACAGAAAGACAGCTGATAAATCCCTAAATATTTGAAGATTAAACAACACAATTCTAATTAACACGAGTCAAAGAAATCTCAAGAGAAATTTAAAAATATTTTGAATGAAATGAAAATGAATATACAACAGATCAACATTTGTGGGATGCAGCAAAAACAATGCTTAGAGGGAAACGTAAGCATTAAACATATATATTAGGGAACGAAAGGAGCTTCTGGGTGGGTGAGCATGTGGAGGTTTAGGGAGAGTGGTATGCTCACAAAGCATGGATGCTCTGTGCCCCTTCCCACATACCTCGCCCTGTGCATCTCTTTCATCTGGCTGTTCCTTTTATAATAAACAGGTAATCTACTAAGAAACCAGTCACAAATGACCACATATTATGTGATTCAATTTATATAAAAGAGACGAATAGGTGAATCTATAGAGACAGAAATTAGACTAGCAGTTGCTTAGGGCTGCAGGTGAAGGATGAATTGGGGTGACAGCTAAAGGGTATAGGGTTTCTTTTTGAGGTGATGAAAATGTTCTAAAATTAAGTGCAGTGATGGTTGCTTATATGAACCACTAATGGTTCATCAAATTCAATATGAATTTCAATGAACTAAAATCATTGACTTGTACACTTTAAATGGGTGAAATGTATAAGAGAATCATACCTTAATAAAGCTGTTTAAAAAAAGAAAATGCCCAATTTTTTAGAGAAGCAAACTTAAGTATCGCATGATGTTTAGACTATGCTTTAAAATATTTAGAAAAGAGGTAAAGGAAAAGGTAGAGTATGAGATAAAGCAAATGTGGCAAAATTGTGATAGTTTTTGAATCTAGGTAATGAGTACACGGGGGTTCACTATATTATTCTCTACTTGAGCAAGTCTGAAAATTTACTCTTAAACAAAAAAGTTAAGTACTTCCTAAACAAAACATAGGCAGATATTCTTGTCTAAAGCAGCATCTAATTATTAGGTACCTGGCTCACTTGACTCTGGTATCTTCTAAGCAGAATAAAATACTACACAGTGCTCTGAGAGCAATCTATCATTTTTTACTGCACTAGAAATTTTGCTTTAAATGGTATTTACAAAGATGAAACTTGCAACTTTAGATTTAACAAGGTTTTAAAATTACATGCATTTTACCACCTACTCTTACTTTGGACCCATTTTTCCATTTTCCTATTTCACTAAGTTCTATTGTAGGCATGTGATTCTATAAAAATAAGATGTAAGATCAACAGTGAGGTGATTTACAGCTAAAAAAAAATTCCCCCCCCAAAAGATACCTGCTGATACAGCACCGATAATTATCAAAATATATTCTTCCTCTCTCATAGGCTATAGGTGACTTGGAATGAGTTGTCCAAACATTCATAAATTTAGTACTTTCCTGAAAGACACAAAGAATTTCAGTTTAGGAAATTACTCATAAGCCTCTACTGTGCACTAATTTTATGTTGGATAGTTTAGAGTTTTCAAATAAATTTCACAGATGTTATTTGAAAACATAGTCAATTCTTCTCACTCTGCTTCACTCTCACGTTTTGGTTTAAGTGGGGTGACCAACTTTTAGACTGTTTGCAGGAAGGCATAAGAAGCTTAAAAACTAAAAGCATCTGGGGGTCATATTAATATCTATTTTCTAATCCCCCAGGTTCAAGGAATGGATTCCACTCCCCATCATATAAGACCTTCTTAAAAGGGAGCGCTACCGCGTAAAAAGTGCACCCCAACTGAAGGCTTGACCACCAGGCGCCCCCGCAGCCCTTCCTCCCGCTCCCGGCCGGTGGGCAGTCACCTGGCACACCAGCACCCGCAAGATGCCCAGGTTCGTCCTCTGCACCACGCCTGCATCGCGCGAGAAGAAGCCCAGCGCCCGGCGACTCAGCCGGTGGCACACGTTGGGCTTTCGGGTTGGACCCATAGAGGCAAGTGCCGGGCCGCGGGGTTAGCAAGGCCTATGAGGGGCGCCCCTAACTCCTGCGCGGGGCAGCGGCCGCTACTTCGGACCCTTGAGGCCCCAACCCTCTACGCCGGGGACCAGGAAAAACTAACACGGAGGAGCCAGACAGGGGGCACACGGCAGTGGGGCGAGAGAAGACAGAGCCGGCGCCGCCTGAACATCGAGAAGAGGGAAAGAAAGGATACCCCCTTTCTGGCCTCCCACCCAACACTCAGCCTCTGGACCCTGCTGTGGACAGTGTGTCAGCCCTGCAACACGCTGCAGGCCGGAGCCGTACTCTCACTGGGAAATGTAGTTCCCAGTGTCGGAACTACAATTCCCATCAGGCAGCAGGTACCGCGCACTGGTGGCCCCGCCCCGCCCCGGCCCGACGGAGGCTGAGCTGTAAGGCCCGTCTTTCCGGTCTGCACGCGGCGTCCGGGAGAACTGTGGGGGCGCTGTTCCCTCTCTGTGCGCGCCTTGCACTCAGGGAGCTGTCCCTTGCTGCCCGTGTACCCCCACGCCTCTCAGCCCCGGACTTTCTGGGAGGCCCTGACCCGGCGCCGAGAGAGGCGCTGTGTCGAGGGCGACCCCCACACACCAAAAGCAGTGCCCTGTGCTAAAGGTACGCCCCGCCGCTTTCACTTCAGTCGCACGTTGGACGATGTGGATGAGGTTGACGGTTAAACATTTTGGTTTTATAAACACTATGCTTTTGTATTATGAGTTATTGGTGGAAGATGCTGGCATTCCCACCAAACTCGGGTTGAATTACTCTTTCCCAGAGGCCCGCCCTTCTGTGGCTTGCGAGGGCACAGACTGGGTTGCGGAAATTGCTGCATTTTCCTTCCTCTCGCCTTTTTCCCCTTTCTTATTGGGGAAATATGAAATGTTTACATTCTTGTTGGACTGCCTGAGATATTCCACGTTGATTCCTCTAACTAAATCTAAAATAACTAACCCTGCCAGTAATGTCAAAGTTCCCACTGAGCTACCTTTTCGGTCATCCGGCACCAGATGTGTCCCATTGCTTTGCTGGTAGTCCTTTGAGAGCGCGGTCTTTGCATCTCCCATGTGCGCTTGGCATGCTACCTCTTGTTCAATATGCAAGGGAGAGATGGTGGCATCTGACAGAGCAAAAAGTATTATCCTGGGTGAGCGCACTGGGTCACAATGTAAATGTTTAGTAAAAATTTGCCATGTCTCTTTTAACCCTGCTGAATTTCCTTCAGGGGCTGGGCTTTTGCTGATTTTTCATAACTTATTTACAGCATACTGTGGAGTGCTTTGTTTATTTTTAGAGAGCGATATAATGGTTAATTTGGTAATTCATGAATGCAGCTGTCACTGAGAAAACTGGGACTCAGAAGAGATAACTGGATTTTCTTTGGCTGAAATGAAATTCAGATCATTGCTGAACTGAATTCATCATCTCTTTTCTCCTTCCCCTTTACCACAACGCGTTTGTCTTCCTGTGGTCTTTACCTCACCAAGTTATCCAAGGGACAGTGATCCTAGATGCCTTCTTTTTCCTCACCCACAATCAAGTCCTTTTGATTCTAACTCTTATCCATCTCCTCATCATATCCCCTGAGTAATTTAAGGCCTTGCCATTTTATCACATTATTATATTAATAGCCTCCTTTCTACCTTAAATACTTGCAATTCCAACCCTCGATACTGCTGCCAGAGTCATTTTTCTAAAGCACAAATCTGTCATTTTCCTATTAAAAACTTTAAGTCGCTCCCAATCACCCAGAGGAGAATTTCTCAAACCCAAGTAGATAGCCAGGATTCTCTATTGTTAACTTAAAATATTTTCAGTATGTTAAATATATGCAAATATAAAACTATATATGAACTCCTTATGTTGTATCATTTTTATAACTAAGTTATACATAATTATAAGTTAAATGCAGCAAAACTATAAAACAAGTAAATTCAAACGAGCATTTATTTATTGTTACCAATGAGACTTTTTGCTGGACCTAACACACTCTTAAAGTGAGTGTTCATTGCCCTCTGTGGCATAGCTTCCTTACAGAAAGTCTTGTCCATAGTGTCTTTGTGTTGAACCATTACTGAATGCCCTCACCTCTTTACTTAAACCACTGCAAAACCTTCCTATGTCCAGTGTGTCAAGATTTCATTTGACCTTCACATGACATCATTTACATAAAGTAGTCCCCATTGCTATCTCATTAACCTGTGCCAATGACAAATGCTACCGCCTGTTTGCCAGCGCACTCCCTAAACACAAATGTGTGAATTGAAATCTTGTGACAGTAATCAATTAAAAGGTGATCATCCAGGTGATCTAGAGTATCTTTTTGTCCTTTTTTTTTTAGATTTTTATCAAATTGGAAATAAAGTTTCTCTGAGAGAAATCTCTTAGCCTTGAGGCTGCATGTATGAATCCTAGGGATCTTACAGGACAAAACCTGAATCCCTTGATGCAGTGTACGGGGTAGCATCTTGCCCACATTTTCAGCCATATCTCTTTATCCATCCTTTATATTTGCTCTTATGGCTCTGACATGTTGCTCACTTGCTCAAGCCCGTGCATCTTTACATTTCAAATTTTCTTTGTATGGAGCTCCCTTCATCTCCTTCTCTTATCTATTTAGCTCAACACTCATCCCAGATATCACAGCTCTGCTCAGACACTTCTCTAACCCTTCCACTTTGGTGATAGCCTTGTGTCTTCCAATGTCACTCTGCACAAGTTGGTTGTGGCACTGTAGTAGAATTGTTGTTTGTCTTCCCAACATATTGTTTTTATGGTAGTCCATTCATTCAGCAGACATATGCATTAACCATATTTCAGGCAGTGTACTAAGGACACAAATGTAGAATGAACTGACTACTCTGAAAACAATGTATAGAATCTATTATCAGCAATTAAGTACTTTTAGCATAGATGCAGATGTAGTCTCTCTTTAATCTTTAAATCAGTAGGAGACCATAATATTAATAAGAAGAAATAACTTTAAAAACTTAAATCCCCAACAGTTTTACCTATAAGGTAGATATTTTCCATTTGTTGAAGGTCAAATGGCGTAAACAGATACCCTAGCTTAGGATTTGGAAATGACTTCTCTTAATTTGGCCATAGAACAAATATTGGTTCCTTTTTTTTTTTTCCACTTTGTGTCTATGTCATTTTGTAGAATACTTAACTCTCTTTGCCATGACATTTTAATGACAAGGAAGAGGAGATATGAATTCAGAAGTTAATGAAATGCTTTTTGTTCATATACTCTGTTTGAAGAAGCTTGGCATAACCAAAAAATATATACAACACTCAGGTTTAAACTTAAACACATTCAGAGACAAAGAAATTTGAACCAAGGCCATGAGTGGTCATTTATTCAATGTGAAATTATTTCATGTACAGTGTGCTGGGAACTATTTTGGCATGGGGTATAACAATGAACAGGATAGACAAGGTGCCTACATGTTAGGGGAGATAAACAATAAATAAATAGATTTTTGTGTGTGTGTGTGAAATACACATTTTTAAAAAATTAGTTTTAGCTGTACAACACAGTGCAATAGTTATACGTTTTACCCATCAAAGTGACAACTTCCCTCCCCCAATCCACCACCCCACTTCCCCCCTCAATATCATACATATATTACAATTCCCTTGACTCCACTCCCACACTATACTCCATGTCCTGTGACTATATATATATATATATATATATACACACACACACATATATATATATATATATATA